ATTACATTCCTCCACCTAAAGCAATTCACACCCAACCCAGAGATACCACTCTTTTTCCAACTGAGGAGGGCATGTGAAAGCATTAATTCTAATGATGGGTGCCTTACTTTGGGCTGCTAATGTCCTCAGTGCCTGCCGGAGACCTCTGCACAATGAAGCAAGAAATTATGTTCATGAAGGTTATAAACAGAATCTGTGAAGTGGTGGAGCCCAGTGCTCCGGGTCAAGACCTCGTAAGTCTAAAGTTTAACGGTTTGCTTTTTGTGAAGCAGTAAGAGACATCAGATGATTTACTTACTATGTTCGGTTCAACTCCAGGCTTATGGCTTTCACAGCACACGTTCTGTTGCTGCTTGTTTGAAATGTAAAAAACGCTGCACCTGCTTGAATCTGCCTCTGTTCCCATCAGCGTCTGTCTGTTTTTGTCTTTTTTTTTCACAGAAGAAAAGATTTGAAACGGGGTTTTAGAGGGTAATGCATGGTGGATATAAAACTTTTCATCAGTGTTTCTTTTATTCCACAAAAAGAGATTAKTTTTTACATCAAAGCCCATTTCATTACAGTTGTCTGGACTTATTATAATTGCAAAGGGAATGATAGGAGATGGGCAAAGTGATATCCAAGAAAATGAGCCGAGCAAATCGCCAGCGCTGATTAAATTTGCTGGAGGACTCTCACCAGGTGCAAAACTGGTTGTTTGGGGACAAAAAGTTCACTTTAGCTCTTATTTTGTTGGGTTTGGCTTGTCATTCATTTTCTCTTTATTTTCTGAATACGAGTGAGAACGAAACATTCACAGCCAGTCTCCATCTTTCTCCACAGCTCAGCCTCTTCACCCCTCAGCAACACTTCAATTCAACCCCCCACCAGACTATCTGTTAACGGGACATATTGGAAAGCTATTAGCTCTCATTATGCTTTACAGCCACCCGTTTTCCCTGTTTTGTCTTTTAATCACGCTCTGCCCCCTTCGCTCGTCTGATTGCACGCACGTATGCCCGTGTTTGTGGATACCTGCATGTATATGGGCAGCACGGTCCAGCAGACAGAAATGAGCCGGTTTCACAGTAATGCATTCAGCTGCAGGAGACCACAAAGTCATCCCCGCCCTGCGTACACTCAGTCACAATCACTTTTTATGAGCGAGTCAATAGCACAGGCGCCATCTTTTATGGAAGCCGTCCATGCTGCGGCAGCGTTGTGCATTCATAGACCATGTCAGCCAAATGGGATCGGATAACGTGCAAAACAAATAAAAAGAGGTTTGAGTGAATTGGATATGGATTTTCCCCCTTTTTTTTCTTTAAAAAGAGGTGGAAATCTTTACAGTAACCCTTATGAGTATTGTAAGTCCCAATAAGCAGGATCTAGTAAAGTGCTGAATATCTTGTGACTGCTCTGTATTGATTTGGGCTCCAGTTTGATCATCCAGGACAGTGAATGCATGTTTGTGTGTTTGTGTGTGTTTGCTGGCAGCACCAACAGATACCTCTTTTTTTCCCCTCTCCTTCTTTTTACTTATGCTCTGTGATCGACTCACACACTTTCATGTGCCACAGTCGTAGCGAGTGGCTTAAAGTTTTGCTTGTTCACTCCCGGCCCATTCAACTGTCATCGCTGCGCAGTGAAACTCCCATAATCCATCTGTGACATGACAGCACTCCAGCTTTTGCAGCAAGAAAACCTATTCTTTCTGTCCCACCATTTGTCGATAATATCTTTTTTTTTTTTTTACATTTTATTCTCAACCCCACCTCCTCCCATTCTTCCTTTGGGCTGTTTTTTTTATTTAATTCTTCCTTCTTGTTTCCATTTACTTTTCCAAATGTGTCCCCCCCCCCAAGATCTCCTTCTATAAGAACATTTTATCTCATGACAGCAGCAGAAAAATGAGTAAAACCACAAAATTATTGTTGACCTCGGCTATGATGACAGAAATGGAAATACTCGTAATTACAATCATGCTACTGGTGATGAAAGTAATAGAGATTAGAATGACAACGATGCTATTAATGATGATGATTAAAACGGAGGTGGGGGACTGTGGGGTTGATGAAGGCAATGACAATTGTGATAATAGTGGTGCTCGCCGGCTATTTGAGCAGCGTCTGTGTTTTTCTTTTTTTCCCCCCTTTGGTCCAGATGGGGAGAGACAGCCGGACGGGACGGACGCCAGTCGAAAGAGGGACGTTCGCTCCTCTGCTGGACACCACAGGAGTGAAGACACCAGTGACAGTAGGGAGGACGAGGCAGCAGTGAGTTTAATCTTTTCTGTCTCGCAAGTTAACAATGTCAGTCCTAATTGTCATTGAACATCTCAGAAATCATCTTATTGTCCATTAAGTCCAGGAGGCTTGGGCGGTATGAGTGTATTGTGTTATGGTGACAGTATTTAAAAATTCTGACATATTAACCCTCTAGAGCCTGATCTATTTAAATTGTTGTGAAATTATTTTAATTTGTGTCAAAAGTACAGATTTCAAACTACACTAGTTCTTAGGCCAAATAAAACCCGAGTTATGATAAACAGGATACCTTTTTCTGAGCATGACTCTTCTTTTTGATGCGCTTTGCAGTGGCAGGCAGAAGAAAACACGGTAAAAACAGCTCAATTTGCCGTCAGTCTCATCCTTCTCTTGAGCCGAAAAAACATAAAACCCCTTGACTTCCTTCCTTTCTGACTGAGGCCARAAGTTATTTTACACATGTCCAAAAATCTACAGAAAGAATAAAAAAATAAAGTGAAAGCTGAATGAAGTTCGGCTAATAAAGARCAGGAGGAAGTTACTCAGCACACCATGCACCATATCAGTAAGATCAATACCCTACTGTCCTGTTCTTTCTTATCAGGGCAGCTGTGGTGCAGTGGTAGGACAGTTGCCTTGTGACCAGAAAGTCACAGGTTCCATTCCCCACCAAACCAACTTGTCTTGGTGTCCTTGAGCAAGACAACTAGTCCCTAAGCTCCCCGGGTGCTTATATACAGTAGCTCCCTTCTGCTCCATTTGGGTGTTTCTCATGTGTAATGGGTCAAATGCAGAGCATAAATTTCATCATTGTATGGGAACATGCATTGATGACAATATATAGCATGTTATCAAAATTCAAAATATTTTATCAACAGTCCAAAAAAAGTCATATAGACTAGGAAGTGTTAAAAATGAGCCATTGACCTATTTTATTGTTTAAAAAATGTTTTACTTATGCAAATTCAAATGTTTAGCTTCTAACCCAACTGACTGCTGTGAATTGGAATGTTTCCACTCTAAAAGGCCAAAGCTAAAATTGTGCATCAGTTCCACACTTTAACRTTTCTTCTAACATTTATTATTCCCTGTCACCACGGGTGAAAGGGTGGTAATGGTTTTGCTTGTCGAATAGGCAACAAAATGTCTTCAACTACTGAATAGAACTCCGTGTTATTATTACAGATTATTATTATTATTTGTAATTTTAAATTTTTTTTGTAGTTGGGGGTAGATAATCTTCATCAACTTCCAGTCAAAACTCGCAGGAAAAGGAATGAAAAATATACTTTTCTGCAAAGCATGATTGGTCTTTAAATATTTGTTTAATTTAGATTATTTTCCTCAGTTTTCCAGGCTCTTTAGCAACACTTCCATCACCTATATTTTTAAATGACAGGCTTATTTTTCTACCAGGCAAAAATGGTAAACATCACTAGAAAGATCTCTAGTTTTCATAAACCATTATTCAAATGACCACAATGAAATTTGACATTCTGTTTAATTGGATTAAAAAGAAGAACACTGCTTAAAAGAGCCTCTTTTTATTACTCAAGAAGCATTGATTTTCACTGCAGGTGCCTGTAATGTATTTTGGTTTCAGATCTCAGCAGGTCACCACATTTTAATAATTAGGTGAGTTTAAACCACATTCAAAAACCTCTTCTAATATTCAATTTGGAGCAATAACACGAGTCTTGTCACCCCCCCCCCCCCCAAAAAAAAAGCCCCGAACAGATTTTTTTTTTTCACTTTTAGCTAAGTGAAAAGAGGATATTCTCTTAAGAGTCACCTTTCATCATCTGGCCTTCAGGCAGGCAATCCATTATTGATGTCTTCTTCCCAAACCTCAGTTGATCAGATCACCTGCCACTCGTTTTGACAGGAACTCTATCTCAGAGTTGCATCTTGCTCGAGGCTCAGGTATCTTCAAAACTCCTTGAGTTGTTGCAGATTTAGGTCATGAAGGCAAACAATCCGCGGTAAATACATGTTCTCCACGTGTTTGGATCTAAAAATCTGACGGCCCTTAAAGAGCAACAAACACGATCAGATACTCGTGCTGTATCTGTACTTGTTATCGAAACATTAAAAATAGCACACAAGTAGTGCGTACTGGATAAGCTAAAAGAAAATATAGCGTATTTTTAGCTGTTCCTTTGGGTTTAACATGGTGTATATTTATGTTGACAGTATTTTAGTGATGCTGAACAAGCTGCTTTAGCATGGTCGACTGGTTGCTGTTAGTTCGCTCCGAGCCGCGTGCCTTAATTTAACTGTGAGATAAAAATATTCAAATAGGAGTGCTAATCAAATACAATGCTCCTAACTGGAGCACTCTGCCGAATTAATGAAGCTGTAATCAAATGTCTCCTGCAAGAAATTCTAACTGTTTTTACAAAAATTTGTTCAGCAGATTTGTTCTGATTTTAAAAAGTGAGTCGAGGAATGGCAGTTAATTCTTATAATTGYGTGGTAATACTTTTAGCAAACTTAGTTTGTGTTTAGTTTAGTTTAATAGTTTATTCATTTTTGATGAAAAACAGAAATTTCAATACAACAAGAAAATAAACACAAATCTCATAAAATGAAAGGAAGCAGAAGAAGAAAAAAAAATCTTAAATCTGCCCTTATTTAACAAGTGTTCTGAGATTTAAATGATTAAATCATCCATCCATCCATCATTTTCTTCCGTCTATTCGGGGTCGGGTCGCGGGGGCAGCAGCTTCAGAAGGGAGGCCCAGACCTCCCTC